TTCTAAAAAAAATTTAGAAATCAACAATTGGAAGGTCAAGGAAAAAAAAGTCAAATACATGGAAACTGATAACAGAAGAAACAACAAAAAAATTCCATGGATCAAACGAGAATGAAAACACAGCAAGAGTAGTACAATTTATAGCACAGCAAGAGGACAATTTATAGCAATAAATGGACACATTAAAAAGAAGGCAGAACCAAAATTAACACATCAACCCAATATCTCTACCAACTAGAAAATGAACAACATTAAAAAGAAAAAAGGCTTATATTCACCAGAAAAAAGGAAATAATAAGATTAGAGCATAAATAAATGAAACAGAAAAACAACAGAAAGAATCAACAAGACTAGAAGTAGTTGCTTTGAAAGGATTAATAAAATTGGCAAACCACTGGCACATTTAACAAAGAAAAAGAAAGAGAAGACACAACACAATTAGAAGTGAAATAGGCAACATACAACAGAACCAACTGAAATAAAAAAGATAACAGAATACTATGAAAAACAGTACTTCAACAAATTTGAAAACCTAGAAAAAACAGACTACACTAACTACATGTTCTAATACCAAAAGGTAGAAAATTGGAACAGATTCATAAAAAAAAAAAAAAAAAAAATTGCCAACAAAAAAAAGTTCTGGCCCAGATGGCTTCACTGGCAAATTCTACCAAACATTCAGAGAAAAGCTGACATCAATTCTACTTAAACTATTCCAGAACACAGAAAAGGATGGAATACTCCAGAACTCATTTGATGAATCAAGCATAACTTTGATACCAAAACCAGGCAAAGACACACTTAGAAAATTCTAGACCAATATCCATCATGAACATAGATACAAGAATTCTCAACAAAATCCTAATCAACAGAATCTAACTATATATATATATAAATAATATATTGTGGCTTCCAGCCAAATAATAGGCATATGAGGTGAACATTTATATCAGGCAGATACATTTCTTGAAGCGATCAACATCAACTATAGGAGAACAGAAGGCAGTGTTTGCACAGGGAGACTGCTTGGGGGGCAGGAGTGAATGGGAGGGATAGACATAAGGAAGAGGCAACTGTGGGAAGAAAGTGGGAAGAGAACTGTTACATTGTGGGGAATTGCAGTCAATGTCATGAGACAAAATGTGTATGAACTGCTGTATGGAAAATGAACTTGCTCTGTAAACTTTCACCCAAATCACAATTTAGAAAAAAAAAAAGAAAAACATGATCAAGTGGGATTCATACCAGGTATGCAAGGATGGTTCAACATTAGAAAAACAATCAACGTAATCCACCACATAAATAAAA